GATACATGCATGCATACATTCATACATTCATACATACATACATACATACATACATACATACATACATTCATACATACATACATACATACATACATACATACATACATACATACATACATACATACATACATACATACATACATAGTGTACAGGGAGAAGACAAATAGTTATTTGGAGATAACTCACGATTCAAGAGAGAACAGGTTCAACTGCAATGGCAGAGAGTACAGAGTCATTCACATTGGTGAATGAATGAAAGAATGAAAAAATGGATGAATAGATGAATAATTGAATAGATGAATTAATAGAAGAATGTATGAATAAATGAAAAATTAATGGATGAATGAATGAATGAATAAACGAATGAATTAATAACTAAGTAAATAATTAGATGAAAAAACAAATAAAAATAATATTTATTTAAACCGCAACAGTTACTAATACTAATTATTCTGACATTAATAATAAATAAAATATAATAATAATAATATTATTATTTTTAATAATAATAATAATAAATTCGTTTTAATTGTGATTCAGAAAGTGAGGTTTTCAGTGAGATCTCGAGGGATATGATGAGTGGGGCGATTGAATACTGCCTAACCGTGGAAGTTAAGAATCAGAGAGGTTGATTGATTGATTGAATAAATGAATGATTGATTGGTGGATTGAATGAATGAATGATCGCTTAAATGAATGAATGATTGATCGATGCAATGAATGAATGATTGAATGATAGCTCGAATGAATGATTGAACAAATGAATGAATGATTGATTGATTAAATGAATGATTGATTGATGACACAATAAATAAATAAACAAATGGTTGATTGAATGATCCGATTGATTGATCGTTCATTCATTCATTCGTTCGTTCATTCATTTATCCATTGCTATTTCATTCATTCGTTCATTCATTCATCCATTCTCTATTTCATTCAGTCATTCACTTGTTCATTCATTCATTCATTTTCTCAGTCAATTATTCATTCCTCCCTTCAAGACATGTTCCCCGTAAGTTTTGACGTCTTCGGTGGTTTGAACAAGATAGCCAACAACCGCTCCATTAGTGGTGAGTCAGAAACTAGGAAGGTTGGAAGGAGAATTGTATTCGTTTATTTGTTTTTGTTTGTTCATTCATTCATTTGTTTATTCATTCATTCATTCAATCAATCATCTATACATTCACTCTTTCGTTCATTCACTTGTTCGTTCAAGCATTCTCTCATGCGATCATTCATCCAACAATCAATCATTTTTCGTTATGATGGCTGCGATGTTCAAACTGTTGGAAGGTCGAAATTCCCATTCCCAAATTACACATTTTCATGCTCATGAGATGAATCTAGATCTAGGTCTACGTGAATCTAGCTGAAAATTGCCAGCTTAATTCACCATCTTTGAGCCAACGAAGTTTAACTACAGTACGTGCTTAGTGATAACTTTTCGGCGGAGTTGTGGCGATCTAAGGCCAGGCGGTTGTGAAGATCGCTGAAATGCATTGTGACTCGTGACGAAAACTGTAGACATTAACTTCTCCGACTAGCATATCCATTAACCATCTGAGACTGACCAACTCATAATAGACTGATTTGATTCTAAAAATCCAAATAATGAATAGAATGGAGTTTATATTGAAGAACTGTTGAGTCTGCAATGTTGGCTTGCATTCAAAGTTGAAGTGGTTGCATTTCTAACTTATGTGAACATTTTTGAACTCTATGTATAGTTGAACTTTATCAATTTTTTAGTTGCTAACTTCAATTTCTTTTTGAACTTGATAACTATGATTTGTTCAATTTTGCTTATTTCTCTAAGGAACTTCAACGCTCACTTTGTCGTAAACCAATCAACCAATCAATTAACTCATTCGCTTATTTAATTATTATTTTATTTTATTTTTCGTTATAATTCCGTCATCTTTCTAAACTATTGCCTTGCATGTGCCTTGCATGTTGTATGTGACAGTTTCTGCGTCTGTCGATATCTCATTTTTCAAAGAATAATTTTAAAGAGATGAGTGAATGAATGAATGAGTGAATGAATGAATGAATAAATAAATAACTGGTTGTTTGATGAATTGATTGATTGATTGAATGAATAAATAAATGAATGAATGACAGAATCAAACATTGAAATAAATAAACTCGAAAAATCTTATCTCCCAAATAGGGCGTATGCTTCAGTGTGTTGGAGCTGAAGAAGAACAACCAAGTTGAGCTCATCATCAAGTTGAAACTGGACCCGCACCATGTCTCAGATTACATGTTCAGCCATGAAGAAATCATATCGAGTGAGCGACCCTATTTTTATTACACGACAATATAGAGTAGCGGTAAAGTGCCATTTACGGAAATTCTTCGCGGGAAAACTTCTTCGCGGGAAAACTTCTTCGCGGGAAAACTTCTTCGCGGGAAAAGGGTTGTCAATGTGATCAAAGGCGAAGCAAAAACAACGCATAATGCAACTGATCGGATAATTACGGATGCATCTGTTGGTCTACCACATCCAGTCGTTGGTCAATTGCCTTCCTTTAAAGACACATGGATTGGACGAAACAACGGACTATGTGGAAGAAACCAACAAAGGAATGTGTCTAAATGAAATAACTGAGCGCATGGAAAAATACATTTGCAGCACAATAAAAGCATTTGTAAATAGAACATTCACTCACTCTACTTCAAGAAACAACCGCGAAGCAAAACTAATAAGAATCACCAAAGCTCTAGTAACTACAAAACAACTACCATCCAAGATACAATCAACTACATCTCAATAACAACAACAACAAACAAGGCGAGAATATAATTTTCTACTACAGGAACTGCATGTTATCTGCCTTTAAAACAGCCAAATCTGTTCTAAAGAAAATTGTTTTCAAAAGCACCTAAAGCCTCAAAATAGAGATGATAAAATAAATCTTAGAATGTTTTATCAGAATGCAAAAAAAGCAAACCTGATGATAAAGAATAATTGCACGCCTCTCCAAAATTCAACCCTAGGAAGAAATTACCTAATATATGAGTTTAAATGCCCTCTTGACGAATACTCTCGTCAGCCACACTCATATATTGGAATGACAACCACATCCCTATCACGTCGTCTTACTATGCGCAAAAGAGATTGAGCTTAACCGTAAACTTTCAGAGACTAAAAAAATTCGATAGCGCCTATCAAATATAGAATTTTACAAAATTTGAATTTTTCTCCATAATGTAAATCTTTAAAAACTTTTCTCACTTTGAACGTCCTAATGAAAAAGGTTTCTGTTCTCTGCATAATCTCACCGCTAATAAATACTAGTTAAATGACGAAATGATTGTATATCTGTAGAAAAGGGCTCTGACTCGAGTTAGCGTGGGTATCTATTTGCTATATGTGGCAGCTTGGCGACTGTATACAAATTGACTTGCCATTTGCCAATTCTTATACATATACAATTCTTTCTTTCTTAGCTTCCAGTAGCACCGACGGCAACGCGCTACGGACCACCCAATTTGCACGCGATCATTCGAACGCTGTAACTGCAACTGTAGAACCGGACACTCTAATCTTAACATGAATTAATGAATGGATAGATGAATGACTGGATGAATAAATGAATGAATGGATGGATGGATGAATGAATGGATGAATAGATGAATGGATGGACGGATGAATGAATGGATGAATGAATGAATAGATGGATGGATGAATGAATGGATGGATGGATGGATGGATGAATTACACCTAATTGTAATCATACTTAAATGATTTTTTTTAATTTTTTTAAAAGATCCAATGACAAGACTGGAAGTAAGACCAAGTTTCCTCACGCTTAACCAATCGGTCAAGTGTCTGACTTCAGCAGTACCAAGCCAGAGCCTCTTTAAATGGTACATACAAATATGTGTGTTTGTGCGTGTGTGTGTGTGTGTTAACGAAAATATAGTGAAAAATTGTGTAATATAGAAACCTATTAAAGCAGAAAAAGGTGTATATATATATATATACACACATATGTATATGTATGTATATATATATATATATGTATGTATATATATATATATGTATGTATATTTATATATATATATATATATATATATATATATATATATATATGTATGCAGTTTCTGTTGTGTTTCAGTTTATATATATATATATTATATATATTATATATATATATACATATATATCAAATGAAATCAAAAAATCAGAGATTATGATTAAAGCCACGGCCCGGATTGAAACATAATCTTCGAATTATTACATTCAGATTCACTCACTCCCAGCAGTTCACTGTTATTATTTGTGCTATTTTTCTTCTTCTCCTTCTTCTTCTTCTTCTTCTTCTTCTTCTTCTTTTTCTTATTATTATTATTATTATTATTATTTTTTGTAGGACGATCAAAGATTACTCCTGGCACGAACAACAAGTGGAATTTGAAAGCACTCATGATAACGTGAATGAATGAATGAATGGATGGATATGAATGAATGAATGAATGGATATGAATGAATGAATGGATGAAGGAATGAATGGATGAATGAATGGATATGAATGAATGGATGAATGAATGAAGGAATGAATGAATGGATGAATGAATGAATGAATGAATGGATATGAATGAATGGATGAATGAATGAATGAATGGATATGAATGAATGAATGGATGAATGAATGGATATGAATGAATGGATATGAATGAATGAATGAATGGATATGAATGAATGAATGAATGGATATGAATGAATGAATGGATGAATGAATGAAGGAATGAATGGATGAATGAATGAATGAATGAATGGATATGAATGAATGGATGAATGAATGGATGAATGAAGGAATGAATTGATGAATGAATGAATGGATGAATGAATTGATGAATGAATGGATATGAATGAATGAATGAATGAATGGATATGAATGAATGAATGGATGAATGAATGAAGGAATGAATGGATGAATGAATGAATGAAGGAATGAATGGATGAATGAATGAATGAATGAATGAATGAATGAATGGATATGTATGAATGGATGAATGGATATGAATGAATGGATATGAATGAATGAATGAATGAAGGAATGAATGGATGAATGAATGAATGGATGAAGGAATGAATGGATGAATGAATGAATGAATGTGTGTGTGTATGAATGAATGAATGAATGAAGAAATGAATGAATGAAGAAATGAATGTATGTAAGTATGAATGAATGAATGAATGAATGAATGAATGAATGAATGAATGAATGAATGAATGAATGAATGAATGAACAATTAATGAATGAACAAATGAATGAACAAATAAATGAATGAAGGAATGAATGTATGTATGTATGAATGAATGAATAAAAGAAGGAATGAATGAACGAAAAAACGAAGGAAGAAATGAATGAACATCATGATAATCGTCAACAGTTGTATTTCCCCAAAATTGGTTTGTATCATGTTTCATGCTCAACTGTCTCTGAGGTGAGTTTGTTTTCTAACAGTAGTGATGTCCTGGTACACCATAGTAAAAGTTGGTTGGTTGGCTGGTTGGTTGATTAGTTGGTTGGTTGATTAATTGGTTGATTGATTGATTGGTTGGTTGGCTGATTGGTTGGTTGGCTGATTGATTGGTTGATTGATTGATTGATTGGTTGGTTCATTGGTTGGTTGATTGATTAGTTGATTGATTGGTTGCTTGGTTGATTGTTGGTTGATTGATTGATTGGCTGTTTGTTTGTTTGTTAATTGATTTTTGATAGATTTATTAATCGATTGATTAGTTATTAAATTAATAAAAAGAAAATAATTTAACTGTTTAACCAACCAACTAACTAACGAACCATCTATCAAACCATCCAACTAACCATCCAACAAACCATCTATTCAACCAACCATCCAACCAACTAATCATCCATCCATCCAACCAACCATCCAACCAACCAACCATCCATCCAACCAACCATCCAACCAACCATCCATCCAACCATCCAACCAACCAGGCAACAAGTTCGTGGTGCTTTTCGACCCGAACGCCATTTCCACGGTTCCCTGCAGCGACGAACGCAAGTTGAGCAACCTCAACAGCAGCGGCGTCTTCAACTGCTCGGCAAAGCTCATATTCTTCTTCAAACTCTGTATATAGTTGAAATTATTAATCATCGGTACAATGATGACGACGATGATGAGGATGATGCTGATGTTGATGATGATGTTGTTGATGGTGATGATGATGAGGATGATGTTGATGGTGATGATGAATATAATGATAATAATGATGGTAATGATGGTGATGATGATAGTGATAATGGGGGTAATAATAATGATGGTGTTTATGGTGATGATGATGATAATGATGAGGATGATTTTGATAATGATGGTGATGGTGATAATGGTGGTAGTAATGATGATGATGTTGTTGATGGTGATAATGATGATGATGGTGATAATGATGATGATGTTGATGGTGATAATGATGATGATGTTGATAATGATGATGATGATGGTGACGATGATGACGCCGATAAAATACAAAACAATCTTATCAGAAGTAACAAATCAGATGATGGACAAAGGATGAAAATAAAACTCAAACGAAAAATTAACCCAAACAAATTTAAACTAAATCCACCACAAGCCAATCACACAGATATTCACAAATAAGGAGAAGAGTGAATTTCTAACTTTCCAAAGTGTAACACGCACACAGTTTACACACGCACACAAAAGAAACGTATTTCCATAAAAGAAATCTGATTATGAGCATACCTATCTTCACTCACTTACTCTCACCTCACTCACTCGCACTCACTCACTTTCTCACTCATTTACTCACTCACTCACTCACTCAAACACTCACTCATTTCACTCTTTCAGCCGAAAACGCGCACTGCAGCATAAAGAACGGCTTCAGCAGACGCTACTTCAACTTCAGCTGCAACATCTCCTACCACTACCCCACAACTCTCCACGAGGGGAACTTCGAGTTGGTGGGGGTGCATGACAAAAAGATGAATGGTCTCACCAAAATCAGCAGCATCCAACAGAGGGATGGAATGGATGCGATTAAAACTTTTGTGAGTATTTCCGGTGGTCAAATGGTTGAGGTGTGTGTGTGTATTGAGTGTGTGTTTATGTGTGTGTGTGTTTATGTGTGTGTGTTGAGTATATGTGTGTGAGCGTGTGTTTATGTGTGTGTGTGTTTATGTGTGTGTGTGTTGAGTATATGTGTGTGAGCGTGTGTTTATGTGTGTGTGTGTGTTTATGTGTGTGAGTGTGTGTTTATGTGTGTGTGTGTGTTGAGTATATGTGTGTGTGTGTTGAGTATATGTGTGTGTGTGTGTGTGTTGAGTATATG